TTTGTAATTTTTAAATATTACCATCAATTTGCCAAATGGAAGCTTCTAATGAATTATGTATAGCGCAATTCAAATATGTTAGTCCTCTTCCGATCCTTAATATAAGATCTATTTAACTAATTTGATTAGATTAAGAAAGTTAGAAAGTTAGTTAATTATAAGAAATATGACATATTTTTTCTAAAATACCGTAATCATCTTCCTTAATATCTTCTCTCTCTCTCCTACTTCATTATGGTTGAGGGAGTCTTCATAAGGATAATTTAGGAAAAATTGATAAATATGAGAAATAGATATTATGTTTAAGACTAAAATTAACTCAACAATTAGGTCTATATTAAGGACCAGATGATATATATTATGCCTTACCTCCGTCCATTAGTTATTTCTACGTTTTAATTTGAATCAAGTGGCAGCTGCTTTGTTTTGTTAATAATATACTAGCATTTTGCATAGTTGATATTAGAGGCCACTTCGAACCAATTCATAGAACTTAAATCATTGTAATTGTTTAAAATAAAAAATATTTTAAAATTTACTAATAATTAAAATTATGAATTACATCTTAAATAACGAAAAAATGTAATTTGAATAAGAATTTAAATAGGGACAATATTATAAAAAATGTAATTAGTAGAAGTAAAATTGATGATTTACAGTTACACACACCTGCCAGTCATAAATATAAAAATTAGATGATACGTTTAATTTTGTCGTGAATATAAAACTCAAATTACTTTGCTTCCTAACTTTATAAAAAATTTTTTGAAACCATCCTATTAATTTTTTATAGTAAAGAAGTTTTTATTGAATGTAGTTACAATGCAAATAATTAAAAAGCTGCTTTAAAAAATTAATAAGTATTTTTTTATAAATAATTAACTTAATTCTTTTATGGGTGAAGGGGCAAATTTACTTATTGAAATATTAAAAAAGAGCATCAAACATCATAATAAGATGTGAAGGGCAAAAATACACGTAAATTTTTGCAAACCGAGAAAAAATGCCCATGCCATTAAGTGCTCCAACATTGACCGTTTAGATATGACATTTTGACTGAAAAATGAAATTATGAAAATTCTTCTAACCTACTATCATCCATTCTCCTTCTTATGATCAACCCTTTTCAGTTCCCACCATGATCGTATCGGAAGAGCAAACCAAAACGAGGAACAGAACTACCAACATACGACATGCTAAGAAAGCAAAATACTCCTCCGGTCCTTATTATAAGATCCAATTTGATTTTTTATTTGGTCCTAATTATAAGACCCAATTTATTTTCTCTCTTATATTTATGCATTTTTTTCCAAGATAATCCTTCTAATAATGATAGTTTTAGCCAATATACTTAATTAGCAAGGATATTTTAGGAATAACAACACTTAGTTATTATAAATAACCAACTTAACTTACTTCTTTAATCTCCTCAAATAAGTCAATTGGGTCTTATAATTAGGATCGGAGGAGTAAGAAGACGAGAGGCACTGAATGGCAAGCTTGCACTGAAGCACAGAGCCACGTGGAAAAGTCAAAAATCAAATAGGAATTAGGAATTTTCCCCTTCACCTTTTTTTAAATAGGGGCGTACGATCTTTTATTTTCGTCAATTTTAAACAGAAGCTCGGACATTATCCCCCAGGAAAAAAACAAAAAAAAAGAATCTTGGATCTCCGACAAGATGTCGGTGTCCGAATACAGGTTCATGGGTATTCGAATATGGGGACCCATTTGTTGCTTTATGAAACGGGAAGCCGGGGGGATGAGTTGGCTTGGCCCGAAAGAAAAATGGGGTGGTGTTATGGTCAAGTACGCTTCTAAAAGAAAAATAAAAAACAGAAACGGATGACGTGGAAATACAATAATAACACCGACATTTATGCAGAAAGAATGGGGCTGGTTAGTAAGTGGAGGGCTCAGGAAATTAGGAATGTAGAGGACGTGTTTGGCATATTGGAAGTGGGAGTATCCATTTGGAATTGTCATTAACATCCATGAAAGATGCTTTTTTTTTTTTCCCCCGGTATCACATGATTAAAAAAATTTACAGCTTCAATTTCACCAAAATCCTACTCCTAGTTCTAATTATAAAACTTTATTTGTAGCCTACAAATAAAATTTTATAATTAAGATTGGAGATAGTATGTGAAATTGGCTTCCCTAATTAGTAAAGAGTTTGTCCGCATGGAAAAGGTCGACCTCAATGAAGAAATTACCTGCTTCATTGTCGGTTGAAGCAAAATTCTAGATAGAGAAGAGATTAGAAACAAATTATGCAAACCTCCTTATTAACAGCAAGCTCTTAAGTGATAATAATCTTCTCTAATGTTAGGGTTAGTTTGGTATGAGGGAAATAGAGGAAAAAGGAGGGGAGAAAAAAAAAACTTAATGAGCTCGTTTTAAAAAATTAAAGTTGGGTTATAAAATTTTGATAAAATAAAAATACTACCTCTGGTCTTTAATATAAGACCTTATTTGATTTTTATTTTGATCATAAATATAAGACCTTAATCCACTTTGTCTCTCATATTTATGTATTTTTTCTCAAAGTACTCCTTCTAACAATAGTAGTTTTAGATAATAAACTTGATTAGCAAGGATATTTTAGAAAAAATACCTATTTATTACAAATAACTAACTTAACTAAGTTTCTTAATCTCTTCAAATTAGTTAACTGGGTTTTATAATTAGAACCAGAGGTAGTATAAGATAAAAATAGAAGAAAAATTAATTAGAAAATTTTAACCTCGTTTTTCTAATTTTTTTAAAACAAACTCATTAAATTTTTTCTTCTCTTCCTTTTTATTTTTCTCATACCAAACATACTAGACTTTAAGCGATAATTTTCCCATCATTGATGTGGGCAAATTCCCCTCCCATGAAGCTTATGATTTCAAGCAACTAAGTTGCATATCTATGTGTCCTACCACCATCTCAGCAAGATCCTCCCTAATTAAAGCCGCCCCATTATCTCCTCCATGTTTCTAACTTCATAACAAAGCCGTGATAGAGATGATGAGTGACTATTACGATAGGATTTTTAAATTTGTCAAATTTAAATTGCAGATTTTTTTAAATTTGTGCAATTATTATATTGAATTGTTGTTATGAGTTCTATCATCTTTTACCTTTTTGATGTGTGAATTTGAACGGTTGATTCAATTTGTTAAAGCTTTTCCACCCTACTTCCATCAACCCCCCCCCCCCCCATTTGCATTTGCATCCTTATTTTCAATCCATCAAAAACCCTCCTAGCATACTAAAGGAGTCCAAATAAGTTTTTGGGGTCAAACACGGTTTAAATAACTCAGATAGACATTAATGCTATAAGATAAAGTATGCGTGCCCTTTTTTAGGATGTAGATCCCAAGGACCATATTGGTTTGCTAACTGAATAAACCCATCATTAAAAAAAAAAAACCAATATAAATGTATGGGAAAAATGTCAAAAAATCACACCAGGAGAATTAAATATTAAAAAATCTTTTAAAATTATTAAATTAGTCTGAAATTCTAAGGGACGTCATTGCAAGAAATTCTAGTTGTCTAATTACTAAACTGCCATTATTTTTTTCTTTAATATATATTGACAGCTGAAAGAACAGTCATTAACAATTTAAGGTATAACGATTAATAACTATCGCGATAGGTATTAACAATATATTTTCTAAGCATATCATAAAGATATAATTCATAAGTTGTCAATACTAACTGCGATAGTTGTTAATTTTTATATCTTAAGTTGTTGATGATTATTCTTTGAGTTATCAAATGCATATTTGGAAAAAAAAAAGATAAGTTAATAATTAAACAAGTAGAATCTCTTATAATTAGGTCTTTTGAAATTTCAGATTAATTTAATAATTTAAAAAAATTTGTATTTAATTATTATGAGTGGGACTTTATTGCAATTTTTCCTAAATATAACTACACCTATGCATTGCCCCTTTGCCTTACAAATTATAATTCCCACTTGTTCTCTCAACCATACGCTTGTGTTTTTTTCTTTTTTTCTTTTTTTGACCAGCACCATCCGCTTGTGTTAGTCTCCCCACATCTGTTCTATTATTATATCATACCTTCATTTTTTTTTTGAATTAATTGTCATTCGTTTATCTGGTGCATGCTCGTGAATCATTTTTTTCATCATCTTACCTTATCTATTTGTTAGAGCCGCTTAACTCAATTAATATCAAAATATTTCTTTAAATTTTAATTTAGGTGAATTCAAACCTTCATAGGTACGATGAACACATGAATTTAATACGTTGGGTGAATGTTTACCGCAGAAAAATTGTATCTTTTACGTTCTTTCCCCAAACAAAAAAGAGGCAGCACATATAAACGAATAAAACTATTTACTTTTAAAAAAGTAATAATTAATGTTAATAATATTATGAAAATTGTCACAAGAAAGTGAGAACAACGCCGGTACGACCCTCTGTCATGTCGTATCACATCTTCTAGGGGACTGAGGAGTAAGGACCAGTCACGGCTCGCCTCCTATTCCTAGCCATTCAATTTTCATTTTTCTTCCTTTTCTTTTTGACCAATATACATTTCAATCATATTTTCCACTCCACTTTCCGCGCAATTTCATTCTTTCTAGAAGGGAAAATTTACTAATTCATGCATCTGATTTTGAAAAATGCATGGATACATATCAATCCCTATCCTATTTTTTTATTCTGAAGACTGATAATAGTAATTAAATTTTCTAATCTTTAAAAACGTGATTATCTTTTCAGCATACTAATCACACAAATTATTATAGGTTAATTTTAAAGTCTCTCGATTTAATGGAGATTGCAGATTTGATACCTCAAAATGAGTAGATTATGAATTCCTTCTCCAATTAGAAAAGATAAATTGCAGGCTGTTCTCTGTTTTTTTCTTTTATTAGCGGTTAGTTGTTTTAATAATAACACTACCGATAACACTAAAATGAAATCTTGAGTTCGAACTTGATATTGATATATTTATAAATATGTGTGTATTTAAATTATATTAAATTAGAAAATGTACATGCTATATGATACAATGATTGCAAATGACATAAAGGACAAAGAACAAAACTTAAAAGCTGAGCTGAATTTTGAAGCCATGTGCAGCATTGTGTGGGGTAAAAAGAGAAAATGAAGCAATATAATTATGAATAACTAAAAAACAACGGTGCCACCAGACAATTTCATATTACGGGATACGGCATACCTGTTTCCAAGGGTTCCCCACGGAGTTGTCACCATCACCACCCCGCTTCTCTAAAACCCTTCTGGAACGTTGCGTCTCTCTCTCACACCCCAAAGCTCTGCCTCTGCCCCCCACTTTCTACGCCCTATAAAATCCCTCCTTTTTCCCCTCTTCTCCATACGCTCATCAAATTCACTCAGATCTTCTCTCCATAATTTACGCAACTCCTCTTTCAATTCAGTTCTCAAACCCTTCCGATGGACCTAATTTCGGGTTTGCCTGACGACATGGCACTCGACTGTTTGATTCGGGTATCGTATCAGCAGTTCCCGGCGGTCGCCTCCGTCTGCAAAGCCTGGAAGACCGAGATTCAGTCGTCTGAGTTTCGCCGTCGGAGGAAAATCGCAGGGCACGTCCAGAAGCTTGTCGTCATGGTTCAGGCAAGAGTTGACTCGGAGAAACCCGGCGCTGGAGCCATAAAAGGAACGCTGAACCCGGTTTACCGCCTGACAGTTTGTGAGCCGGAGACTGGTCTCTGGAGCGAGATGCCTTCTATTCCGGGTTTACAAGGCGGGTTGCCCATGTTCTGCCAGATTGCGGGTGTCGGGTTCGATCTAGTTGTGATGGGCGGGTGGCGCCCCGATTCGTGGAAGGCGTCGAATTCGGTGTTTATCTATAACTTCATGTCGGCGAAATGGCGCCGTGGGGCCGATATGCCCGGCGGGCCCAGGACGTTCTTCGGCTGTGCTTCCGATTCGCGGCGCTTCGTGTACGTCGCCGGCGGGCACAGCGAGGAGAAGAACGCGTTGAGGTCGGCGTTCGCGTATGACGTGGCGCGCGACAAGTGGGTCCCGCTGCCTCCCATGGCAAGAGAACGGGATGAATGCAAGGCCGTCTTCCACAACGGGAAGTTCAGAGTGGTCGGAGGGTACTGCACCGAGATGCAAGGACGGTTCGAGAGAACTGCCGAGGCCTTCGATGTGGCCACGTGGAGGTGGGACCCGGTGGACGAGGAGTTCCTAGATTCAGCCACGTGTCCGAGGACCTGCGTCGACGGCGGAGACGACGACGAGAAAGTGTATATGTGTGCTCCCGCCGGGGAGGTGATGGCCCTAGAGGGCGGCACGTGGCGGTCGATAGCCAAGGTGGGAGATGAGATGCGCAGCGTTGCGTATGTGAGGCCGTGGGAGGGGAAGATGCTGGTAATAGGATCAAGTGCGTACAGTGAACCGCACATGGGAATTGTATTAGACCTGAAAACTGGTCACCGGAGAAAATTGGAAATCGCCCAGAACTACACAGGCCACGTTCAGTCCGGTTGTCTTCTAGAAATTTAAGGGATTAATCCCCTTGTTATGTAAATAAGCAAGATTTTGTTTTCTTTTTGGCATTCCTTCTTTAAGAAAGAATGTGTCATATAGTACAATGTAGGATTTTTCTTAATGACCAATACAGTCAGCCCTTGCCATATTTCATTTTGTCATCTCTGGGAAGTATGGAAAATCTCATGTTTAAATATCATTGGAGTTATAAGAGCCTAATTATTACAGATGTTTGGTCTAAATCAAAATAAGTATTTGATAAATCTGAGAGGATATTATGAGAGTATGTAGTTGGATTGTGAACTATAAAACAAATGATGAATTTATTATTAGTCAAGGACAAATAGGTTCATAAGACCCAAGGATGCCCAGGTGTCAAGTTATGATTTGTTTGTATTTAATGAATTTGTTAAAGCAGATGACGCTTTCATGGGGTGACAAATGGATGCCAGTTGAGGCCCAGTGAAGAAAAAATATCTCATGGCTTTTTGGCATCATCCATATGGCATTTGATACTGATTTTGGCGAAAATAAAGGATATATAGAATTAATAAATTCTGTGAGAAAGGGGTAAAAATGGTGTTGATTGAGGGTGAGCGTTGCTTAGTTGCATAAAACCATTGGGGGGCACACAAATGCACCCCTTGTTTTGTTCATTTTGTCCATTTGTGAACGTGAACTTAGGGAGGATACAATAATCTCTTGTTAAAATTAATTAAAAATAATAATAAAAACGTGATAAGCATGTAAAGTTGTTTTGTTCATTTTGTTCACTTGTACACATGGACTTATGATGAATACCATAATCTCTTCATACTTATATATAAGATACAAATAATCAAATTATAAGATCCGTGCATTAAATAGGAGGGAAATGGAAAAAAAATAAAAAAAAAGATGCATTAAAATTATAAAAAGAATGAGCATTATTTAAAAAATTGTAATTTATAAGACAGGAAAAGGACACAAGGGATTATATAGTGTAAACTAGCATATCATATGCATAGTCCAAGGAAAATAATAGCAGTGTGGGCTCCGTATAGTTGGAGAGGCTAGGCTGTTTCATTGAATAATATATATGAATAGTCCCTATATATATATATATATATATGGTTGTTAATGTAATACTCTATATTATAATTATTTATACACCGAATGCTATTATTTGCATATTCTGGATATTGTCCCCACTTTCCACACTGGCTCTTGCTGTTTAAGCTGGCATGCCCAACTAATCGTTATGATCACAGTTCCCCACAATCTTCTTTTATATTCCATACATACATATATATATATATATATAGATTATGGATATTATTGAGATATTGATATTATAATTAAAAGTTATTAATCAACTTACAAAAGATTCTTAAAAATTATTAAGAGAAACAATACAGGCGCGCACATATTCATTTTTCTACACTTCTCTAATTGGGATTTATTCTTAAAATTGATTATTAGAGATTTAAACAGCTAATACTTCTTATATTAAAAAGAAAATACTCTTGACAAGAGGATGATATAGAATTATATATTTTAAAAATAATCACTGATGAATGCATATGTTTAAACAAAATTATCTTAAACTTGCAGCTCCGGTGATAGCCTACTTAACAAGGGTTGGCCTAGGATAGTGTTGAAGTTATTTTAGAGCTTAACTAAGGTTAGGTTTAAGCTATTGCCTAGGCCTAATTAACAGTAAGTCAAAATAGCAGTTGTAACTAAATAAGGTTAAACTAATATATATATTAATTAAGCCTTGTCTTAATGAGGTTTAATTAATACAAACCTGCTGATAATTACTGTCTTGTTTCGGCCACGCCACCACAATGATGAGTTAAAACTATAAGTTTAAGTCAGGGACTTATAACCCAACTGATCTCAAGTGTTTATTAATTTTTTTTTTTTAAGGCTCTCCAAAGCGTGCGGCTTTAAGTTTGATTGGACAATTTTTTAAGAAGCTAGTTCCAAGTTAGGGAATTCTAAGAAACCCCATTTATCTTCTTCCTTCATCACTACCTGAGGAGTGTTTTGGGTATTTTGTATTTTTATATTTTATTTTGCGAGAATTGCAATGAGCTAGGTTTCAAGTAAAAAATATAATTATTAAAAAGTTTTAATGACAAATGAACAATTATCATTACAAATTATTATTAAGACTTTTTAGTAATTATATTTCTTACTTAGGATTTCAATGCAATTCTCCCTTTTATTTTTCTTCTTTCTTAATTCATCATTTCCTTTTTCTTTTCAGATGCACGCAGTCGGAAAATTTTCCTTTTCTTTCCTTTCTTTTCCTTTCCCTCAAAATACATTCTCTACCAAACGAGCTCTTTCACTCGCAATTTTCACGCATAATTACCTAGCGTGCTGCGTTAGTAACCACAAGGATAAAAAATTATGGGAAGATATTTTCTAAAAGTACGAACTTTCTTATATTCTAAGCCAACAATAGTATCTTGTACAGAAAATGTTTTACATGGTGAATCATACGGGAGTGAGTATATTCATTTTCTGGAGACTTGATTTTGTTTTATGAACGGATCATCTGAAGAGTTTCTAGCAGAAGCAGGATTCATTAATTATGTGGTTAATTAGTGTTAGAAATGGTTTTGCCATAATCTTCATGATGACGATTCCAAAAGGAATTTGCTTCAGGTGAGACTCCTTCCATGTCATTCTGGTTATTTCTCTCCATGCTTTGCCCTTGCCCTACACCACCATGTATATATAGCCCCAGCACTACAAATATGAGTCTCCTAGTAATAATTAAGAACATTTCAAGACCAAAAACTTATTCTAGTCTAAATATGGAATCATAATTCCTTTTTTTTTAAAAAAAAAAATTTAGGACATAGCTAGGACATATATGTACCTTCCCACATAGAGCCTTTCATGCAAGATAAGAGAGCAAGCAATGGTGAGTAGAACAAGAGTGAGAGAGGACGGAAAATGGAAGCATAGAGTGGGCCTTTCAAGGCTACACACACGAGAATCCAAACCAATCCCGACGCCACAATTCCCCATTTCAAATCAAACTTCACGGTAGTTAATAGTTTTTATATTTAATACTCTTCCGATTCTTAATATATGATTTAATTATTGAGTTATTTTTTATCCTAAATATAAGACCTATTTTTCATATTTATCAGTTTTTTATAAATTACACCTATAGATACTCTTTCAACTATAATCAAGTAGAAGAGGAAGATGGGGTATTAAGAAATATGATTATGGTATTTTAGGAAAAACGTATCACATTTCTTATAATTAACTAACTTTCTTAATCTAATCAAATTAGTTAAATAGATTTTATATTAAGGATCAGAAGAGTATTACATTTACGTGTGCGTGTGTGTATCGGTTTACACTAAAGTGTTACTGCCTTGGATCCTAAATGTTAGACCTGGTTGGGAGTTTGTTTTATTAATCCCAAATACAAATACAAGACCCCACTCTTATAAATAGGACAGCATGGAGTACATAATGCAAATACAAGTTAAATACAGAATGCATTATTATTGTTGTAGTTGTTATGACTAAATATTTGAGTATTAGTTCCTCCATACCTCAATTAATCAGTCATATAGAGTATTACTCCTCAGGTCCTTAATATAGGATTTAATTATTGAGTTAATTTTAGTCCTAAATATAAGAACTATTTTTTATATTTATCAATTTTTCTTAAATTATCACTATGGATACTTCCTCAACCATAATCAAGTAGAAAAGGGAAGAAGGATACTAAGAAAGATGATTATGGTGTTTTAGAAAAAACATATCATATTTTTTATAATCAACTAACTTACCTAACTTTCTTAATCTAATCAAATTAGTTAAATATGTCTTATATTAAGGATTGGAAGAATATATTTTAGAAGGATTTTTTTTTTTGGGGTCTCAAATATGCAAGTTACTCTTTGTTGAAGCATACCATCAACCCAAAGACAAGAGGCCCACTATTCTCTCTCTCTATACATGTACACATGTGCAAGTAACTTTCACTGATTTATGAAATGGTGAAAAGGTCATATTAATGATGATATATATGTATATGTATGTATACTTTATAGCATATGCTTTTGTCTGCATTTTTTGGCTTCTTTGGTTTATACATGGAACTATCTCGGTTTGTTTGTGGCTATATATATATATATATATATATATTTATTTATATTTATATTCCTAAGTTTGATGCCTTTTCAGTGCTGCATAAGTGTACAATCATATGCGTGTGCGCGTATACAAATACAAATTTGTTTTTTTGGTTGCCCACTCAATTTACCGGAGCTTTACTCCAACTACATTTGGATCCGACCCGCGTCGCACACCTGGCTGTGGTGGGTGAGTCTCCCAATAGAGATTTCTGTATATGCTGAGGCTCGAACTCGAGACCTCGCTTAAGCGGTATCAAACCGCTTACTACTTGAATTAACTTCCATTGGTACAAATACAAATTTGTTGTCTCACTGTTTATGTCCATTGATATATTGTTCTGAGACGCTAGCTGTTCAAACTGAACTTATATATATATACAGTTCCTCTATCCCTAATTATAAGATCCTCTTTTTTAAATGGATTTATCCCTTTTTATAAGGTTCTCTTTGAGTTTATCTGAACATTTAATGTATTGTTACCTATTTTACTCCTAATAAATTTCATACATTCTCTCTCCATATATTCTCTCTCTATTTATCTCATTATTATTCTTTTACATTTATTAGGGGTATATTTGGAAAAAAATTATATTTGTTACATATTAATTGCTTTTAACTAATTTTAACTTTTTTTTAAAAAGCGCAATTTGACCAAAAGGTTCTTATAATTAGGGACGGAATAGTATATAGAATGCAAAATTATTATTTATATCACGGAAAGCGCTACTAGGATATTTGAGTACACACATATGAATTACTATTAATTAATGAGGACCTTAATTTCTAAAATGGCCCTTCCATTATTTTTATGTGATTCGCAATTTATATGATCACAATCATTCACTGGCAATTAAATAAATACTCCTCTGTTCCTTAATATAAGACCCATTTAACTAATTTGATTAGATTAAGGAAGTTAGGTAAGTTAGTTAAGTTAGTTAATTATAAGAAAAGTGACACATTTTTCCTAAAACACCATAATCATCTTTCTTAATACCCACACTCTCTCTTCTACTTGATTATGGTTGAGAGAGTATCTATAGGGATAATTTAAAAAAATTGATAAATATGAA